TTTGTTGTGATTTGGCGCTATATAAATAAAATTGAATTGAATTGAATTGAATTTTATGATGGTGGGGCAGCTTCTGATTTGTCTGCATTCTTGTACTGTTAGGTTTAAATATTCACCTGACTTTTCTCATATTTTGTGTTTTCATGTTCAAAGCGGTTTTTGGGGGTAAAGGGGGAAACCCCGTTTTCAAAAAATACCCGAGTGCTGGTGGGCGTAGCCCGAGTGTACGGCCGACATACCTCCGCTCCATCGCGGGTTCGTCGTACGTGGAAGACTAAGTCTGTGTGGCTGTCCTTCAGGTGCTCGCTCGCCAAGACTTCAGGAAGTGTGAGGTGCAGGATTAAACAGTTCCCACATCCAGACACCGCCATGTCAGGAGGTCCAATCACAGCTACAGAAAAAAGAAGAAATTCAGTCAGCTGGAAGGAGACTGGACACAAATCAGTACAGCGACACAAACACAGGCGATGATTTTAGTTTATGTCAGAAGAAAAACCCTGAAGAGATTTCTAACCAGGGAAACTGTTCTCAAAGGAAAACGTCACGGGACCGTGTAAAATCTGTTTAACGAAGCTGTGAGCAGGATTAGAAGAAGATGAAGGTAAATCATTAGGAATGTACAGGTGATGGCACGAACAGTCACATGACGTGGATACGGCGACGTATCCTGGCTCAGGGCGAGCTTTGATAAAACAACCACAAAACCAGAAAAATATGATGTTTGTGGTGTTAAATGCAAGATGGTGGGTGGAGTTACTGATGTAACCTGTGTTAATAGGAGTTATCGTTTTACACTGCTGTAAGGTTACAACAAATATGACATAATAATAGGTACAAGTGTGCTGTGTTGGCTCTCCATCACACGCTCATGCTTTCATCATGAAACTGGTAATGAAACGTGTTAGCCTCACTGTCTGACAGCGGCAGGAAGCTGTCCGATACCGTCCAGCTGGACCTCTGGGTGGCGGTGAAGGCCTGGACACGAGCTACGTAGTGGTCGAACGGGTCCTTGAAGGCTCTGGTCAGGTCACATGTTTGTCCCGCCCTCAGTGCCACGCAAGCCGGCACCGGCTTCCACGACTGCTTTCTTCATGTTGAAGAAAACAAAACACAAAGACAGACAGATTACTGTGTCATCCTGTGAAATAAACCTTTCACAGATGAATGAAGCTGTGGGCGTGTGCGTCATCCACAATAAATAACCTCACATCTGCCTTCAAATAAATATGAAAGTTTACATTTACTCAGAAAGGAAAGTGCTGACTCTGTATTTAGAGGTGCCTCAGAAACAGAAATGAAACATGAAACTTACTGAACAAAGGAGCTAAATAAATAACAAACACAGGAGATATCATTCAGGATCAAACGAGGCTGAAATTAACTTTACTGACATTATTGTGAGCTGACGTTTTAGTAAGAAGCACCTTCAGCCCAGGAGGTGCCAAACCTCAGGGACTGAGAAACCAAGAGTACAGTGAAGAATTCATGTTATAACTGCTTCTGTTTCTGGGACATCGTCACTAGAATATCGACTTGAGTCATTCCCAGGCGCCGTTTTTACATTTCTGACTACAAAGTTAACCACACAGTCTCTGATGTACTGTATTTTCCGCACCATAAGGCGCACTTAAAATCCTTTAATTTTCTCAAAAATCATCAGTGCTCCTTATGTATGAACTCGTTGTTGTGCTCACTGACCTGGAACCGATTTCATGACATACACGGCGCTCAAAAATCTGTTAAAAATGTTTTAGAACGACTTTGGTACAAGATGAAGCCGCACCGCTTGATGAACTATCAGGGGGTTACGGCAACTGTAGTCAAGGGGCCTCACGGAGTAATCTGGGTCCTAAACTCCGTCTTTTCAGGTCCCAAAGTCAAACAAACACTGCATCATCACTGAGAGTTACAAACTGTCTAAATTCTTTCATCTTTAATAAAATGATCAGTGTTGCTGCTTTACCAGGTGTAACAATTAAGTTTAACATCCAGGCACCCATGAAAACAGAATTTAATAAATTCAACAGAGTTAGAAGTTAGCAGGAAGTTAGCTCGCTAGCTTCCTGATAAACATGATAGCATGTTCTGACTGAGAGATTTCTGAAAAATTCAAACATACAGCTCTGCTACCACTTCCAACATAAATGAAGACAGAAAACTAAACAGCAGTGACGTTTGTAGGGTTACTGAAGTTGGGCTAGCTGGTATATAATGATGTGCTACGTGACCGCTAGCAACACAGCTATGTTAGCCTAGCATAAACACAGTGAAGCTGGAGGATAACTTTTTTCCACTCGATAAAAGTTAACGAGAGGGTTCCTGATGGTTAGAGACAAATGTAATCGCATGGCAGGATGCTGTAAACGGACCAAACTTCAGTCAGGAGAACAACTGAGATAATCCATCCACAATACGAGGTTAGTCAGGAGACACTGGCTGGTTTTAACCTTTGTGCTGTGATAGTACTAATCACTAATCACTGCTCTGCCCTGTCAAACAAGACCAAGCGATCTGTCCAAGCTGCTCTATTAAAAAGACCAGTGAAAGCCTTTAAATTCAGCCTGACACTCTGAATCTGAATTGGTTTTGTTTGAGACAGCTTAAATTTCTGATCAGATTTTCTAAATACCTGGAGCGGACGACTTCTACCATGAATCGGGCATCGGAGGGGGTCTGAGGGCCCGGCTGGAAGCTGAGTGTGTGTTCCAAGTTGATGGAAGAGATGGAAACGCTGGAGGGTGCAGAAAGGGAAACGCCCGTCGCTACAGAAAGGAAGAGGATATAAAAAAGTTTTAAAATAATCCTCCTGTATGCTTAGACAGGAAGTATTTGTACTCACACAGTTTCGGCTCTGCAGATTTAAAATGAACCTCTCAAAACGCATTTGAAGTACAAACTCTCAGCTTTACTTCACGGCGTGGAATAATCCACTATTTTATAACAGGATAATGTACTTAACACTGTTTCTTACACAGGAGTGGATATATCTTTGTTTCTTCAAAAACAAAACTCATCCATCCAATAGTGCGAGGGACCATTTGCTGAGGACTCATTAACAGTTTGGTCCACAGAGAGAACAAAGACAAGATCGTGGACATCCACAGGAGACAGAGGGGGATGATCCCAGGATCCTTTCCATGGTGAAGAAAACCCCCCTTACAACATCCAGTCAAGTGAGGAAGACTCAACGCGAGGAAGACTCCTGTTATCGTAGGCCTTTACACACAGACTGACTCAAAATTCCGAATTTTTCAGACGTGAACTTGTCTGTAATGTTAGCATGAAACAATGATGAGCTCGTCCTGATGTTCCTGAACACAAAAAGGAAGAAACAGAGATTCTGGTTTGTCCGATGCTCAGGAGCAGGCAGCAGCAGGGAGGATTTCCTATTCTGATCCCCGAGTCAAAGCCTTCGGACGGGTTTCAGGATTGAGCTCCTGTTTCTTAGAGTTGTGACCACATCTGAGGAGGCAGAGTACTGATTCAGAGAGCCGACTGACCCACAGCAGCAGCTAGCTGTGAATCTGAGGGATGCAGGATTATTTACTGTTTATAACTTTGTGTGACTTGAGCTACGAGAGCAAGTGTATGGTCAGATATTTATTCACATGTGAAAGCTGGAATAACCCAGCGTGATCGGAGAAATTAATGCTTTAAAGCTGTTCACTATCACCATCCTGACACTTTGAAGCTGAAATCATAAACGTGGGTGAGAAATGTAGGGAAGCTGAAGCTGCAGGAACTTTTCACAAAACTAGTTTAGAAGTCGGAAATAGAAAAGCTTAAAGCTCTAATGTCCAGCAGGGGCCGACTCCTCTGGCTGTGAAATGACGTCTGATTGCATAGAGGTCTGTGAGACATAAGCCTCCAACTCAAAAAAGATGGTCCCATTGGAGTAAGAAGGGACCTGAAAACAGGGAGGGTTTAGGGCGGAGCTACATTTGATTGACAACTGCATCGTCCCTCTGTCCTCACAGATCTCACATCAAATCAAATCAAAATGTATTTCTATAGCACTTAATAATACAACAAAGTTGACCAAAGTGCTTCACAGTCGGTCAGAGCAAGAGCATAAGACAGAATAAAAACAGTTAGAAGGAGGACAAGAAACAATAAGGTAAACAGCATAACTAACCACGAAATAACCAACTAGTTTGAATCAAAAGCCAAACTACAATAACACGTTTTAAGACGCAATTTAAAGACTGGATGGACTCGGAGGAACGAATATAGGGAGGGATGTTATTCCAGAGCCTGGGAGCTACGACAGCAAAGGCCTGACCTCCTCTGGACTTCAGACGAGACCTTGGTTGGGTCAGGAGCATTTGATCGGAAGATCTACGTGCCTTATTAGGGACATACAAATGGAGGCGATCGCATAGATACCTGGGAGCCGATTTAAAATTTTAAAGGTAAGCAAGAGAATTTTGAAATTGATACGGTAGAGCAGATCTACCTGCTCGTTTGTCACATCCGGGTTCAAAGCATCAAGAGGATGATGAGGAAACATCTTCATGATGGGAATACATCACAGTGTATCTGTCAGGTGTCTGTATGATGTGCTTGGATCATGACAGTGTTCTTTAGTTATTTAAAGACATCCACAGGAGACGACGGATGTTTCACTCAGAGCTGCTCTGACCTGCCTTTTGGCCTACTTTGGACAAGTGGACTCTGTCACTTACCTTCAGCCTTTATTTAAAATGATCACGATTAAACCTCCAGGTTTGGGAAGGGTGGGTTTACAAAAAGAGCTTCCAAATGGGAATGTGGACAGTTGGATCACCTCCAGACCTTTCACCCGCTTCATTTACAGAGAACCAGCAGCTCCATTTGATCTCTTGAAAATCAGAAACTGTGCAAAGAAATGTCTGTAGTTTCTCAACTAAGTGAGTAATATTCCTGTTGCGGTTCTGTGACAGCGATTAGCGGTAAGTTGACTGCTGTTACATTATTATAACAGACATTAACACAATCTGAAAAATCTGTTTCACTTCCATACAGGAAGTGGCCAGCAGCAGCGTCATGACCACAGACCCAGTGGATGTGTCCCAGAGATAAACTTTCCCCCTTGGACCAAAGAACAGTGACTAACATGAAAGTATATTCAGTAGTTTAGATGGTTACCTAGGCAACCAGAGCTTGCAACGTCCGCTAGTGGCCAATCATCAGCTACAAAGTGCGATGACTTCCTGTGTGGCCAGTATCCGCCAGTATCATTAGCTGTTTCCGGGTTCAAACTCTGCTTCAGGTCCCAAAGCCAAACAAACACTGCAGCATCACTGAGAGTTACAAACTATCTAAATTCTTTCATCTTTAATAAAATTATCAGTGTTGCTGCTTTACCAGGTGTAACAATTAAGTTTAACATCCATGAAAACAGAATTTATTATATTTAACAGAGTTAGAAGTTAGCAGGAAGTTAGCTCGCTAGTTAGCTAAACATGATATAGCATGTTCTGACTGAGAGATTTCTGAAAAATTCAAACGTACAGCTCTGCTATCACTTCCAACATAAATGAAGACAGAAAACTAAACAGCAGTGACGTTTGTAGGGTTACTGAAGTTGGGCT